GTACCGAGTGGAATAAAAGTTGGAAGCAGAAGAAAGAGTTTGATACCCGGCCATCCACGGTACAATATTAATTTTACAGTTAAACATTATACTATAATAGAAAACTTGTAGGAAATTGAATTCCAAACAAAATACATTTCTCCAAAATAACTGTAATATTTGACAGATGACACGAATTTGACTTATTTTAAATGGCAACCATACTTGATTATTGCTTTCCCGAATAGGGCATTTTATTACGATTTCTGTGATGTATCGCATCGTTAGGATTTTTTGGAAAATAAAGTGTTGGGAACAATTTATTCTTTGTTAATTTAGTTGATCCAAGCTAGTCATGGAAAATGGTATTAGACATAGCATTGTTCCAATAGCAAAAAATAATAACCACTTTTAATTTTTGACATGCAAGTTTAAATTCTACTTAGAAATGTAAGTTAGTTTTATTGTAAAAATAAATTATTCCAATCAAGAAAAGCGCGACATGATTGAGACCTGGATTACATGTGACAAAAATGCTAGACTAGCGTCTGATGACTATTTTGCGAGGTATTTTGACCGTCCTGAAATATCATTGAAAACACTCAAATGATTCTTCGACAATTTGGGCACATAAGGAAGTTTTACACCTCCAAGAAATGGAGGCAAAATAGTAAATGAAGCTGTGGAGTTATTGTCTTGACTGATGTAAGCCCGAAGCCACAGAATTTTTGTACATGGTTCCGAAACAACTGCCAACAAGGCATCCAATTCCCTTATAAAATATTGTGGATTGATCAAACTCCATTTATAAATTGCGGTATGGTTATGACACAATGAACATCTTTGGAATCATAAAAATCCCCACCACGATGAGCAAAGGAGACCAAAAGGTTCGAAAATTCTTGGACCATTTCTCTTTGAAAGCACGATAAATGGGAGTTGCTTTCTTTAATTCCATCGGATTAACCTGGATTTTATGTTGGACGACTTAGATTTAGAAACATGGCGTAATGTGCAATAGTTTCAACATGAAAACGCTAGTCCGCATAATTTTTCCCAAATGCGGAATTACCTGGATATATCTTGGGTTTAGGATTGGACAAAACGGTCCTATTTTATGGCCACCTCGATCACCGGATCTTTAACCTTTGAATTTATTTTTGTGTAGAGCCCTGAAAAACACAGTTTACAAAAACTAATGCATATTCCAATTTGAATGCACTTAAAGAAGATCTTGTTGGGCATTTGAAAATATTTATGGTTGGTCCGCAAGAAAAGCAACTTATTCAGATTTAAAGCGTTGCAATGTTTGCAATGATAAATTCTGCAGACTGTATATGGTGTTAAACTGTAACTGCAACTGTCGAGGGAATGACTTTTCAAGCTTTGCGGGAGGTATCTCTTGAAACCTTTCAAATGATATGGCCTCATTTCGATCTGATGGGTCATTACACGTCAATGATAGAACTTCTCCTGCATCTATTTTCAGACGAAAGATTCTTTACGTTTTTACGCGTAGCCATAGACCATAAAAGGTTATGAGTTCCAGTTTCTTGACCAATATCGAATAATTGAAAGATGGTTAATTGGCTTGGGAATTCGGTCTGGGTAGTGGTGAAGAAAAAAAAAACTTTTTAACCACCTAGCATTCGGCAATTTATTGTCGCCTTCCTCAAGGTGCTAATTGTTTGCCCATTAGATGGCTGAGAACCCTCCAGAATACTCTATCATTTTTTGTGCAGCTTGATGAAATATTTAATCTTTTAGTCACATTGTTTGGTCATGATGAGCAAGTGATGATTTTTGGTTTATTACTTCATTTAGTGTTGTGTTAGCTTTGGGCAAAACAACTCTGAAAGCGCTCGCAACACGTGCCAGCGAAACGTCCGGCCTACGATCGTATTGATGGCGGCCCGATAATCCAAAAGAGCAAATTTTTGTCCCTTTGGATCGTCAACACTGATGGGAGATGTTGCAAGTGTCCGTTTCCGGTTGTAGTACTCCCATAAGTTCAATAACTGTAGATCTGTACAATTTAAATCTTTTGAAAAAAGTTAGTTCGTCCAAATCCTCCAATGGATTATTTCTGATATACAGGGTGTTTCGTAAGTATGTTAAAACATTTTAACAGCGTGTTCTCCTTGTCATTTTAGAGGGGGTCTTCCTGAGAATTTTTTAAATTTGAGGTCTCAATTTTGAGATATTGCATTTCCATTATGGAGAAAAATTTTAGTTTTTGTTGTTTCTCTTTAAAACTGTTAAACATAGAAACTTCAATTTTGGTACACATTATAAGCTAATTGAGTGCTATTCTCTAGTAGCGTTGTATAGTTCAGTTTACTTTATACAAATGTGGAACCCCTTCTTTTGTTTTGTTCAGAACTTTTTTGTGTGCACCTAAACTTTTATGAAAATACTTTTTTAATTACAACAAGTTATTAGTCAACTTTTTTATCCCTTATCTTTTTTCCTAAGGGCACTAGATTGCCCCAAAAAAATTGAACCGTTTCGGCATGATCAAAACTTTCCATGCCGTTGGATTGGAGGTCAAGAAGCTCCTATAAACTCGCCTCCCAGATTTTTAGCCCTTTAGGCCAGCCGTTAAAAAAATACGGTGTATTGAACAGAAGTGAATACAATCGAAGAACTTTACGAAGATACGCTAATATTTCTAACGAAATAAGGACTTCAGTGCAAACTCAACGGTCTGTAGATTTTACTTTCATTAAAAGACTGCGATTATGCCAAGAATGTCAAGGTGACCAATTTTACCAGCTGCCAGGTTAACATTAGAATGGTTATTTAAATTTAATTTTGTTTGTTTATATCGTTGCGCATATAGTTACCATGTTATTATTTAAATGTAATCTGAACCAAAATACACAATTTAGGAAAATTAGTTAGGTTGTAAGTAATCAACTAATGATGCGTACCAAAATTATTATATGAAGAAGTTATTAGGTTTAAAAAAATTAACTTAATTACTTACACATTTTGAGAACGGCAAATAAAACGATGTTATTTTTTTGCGGACAAACCCTTAGGAGAAAACAATAAGAGATAAAAAGTTGGTCAATAACTTGTAGTAATTAACGAAATTATGCGAGAAAAGTAAGTTTCACACAAAAAAGTTCCTAACAAAACAAAATAGGGGTTCCACATTTCTACCCTGTATAAAAGCAAATTGAACCACGAAACACTATCATAAAAAGGAACTCAATTAGCTTATAATGTATACCAAAATTTAAGTTTCTATCTTTAAGCGTTTTCAAGGAAAACAACAGAAACTATTATTTTTCGACATTTGGAAAGAAAAATCAAAACAACGAAACTGCAATTTAAAAAAATTTGCAGGAAGACTACCCTCTAAAATGACTAGAAAAATATGCGGTTAAAGTATTTTAACATATTTACGGAACACCCTGTATATTCTCTTTGGAACCCCAAATGCAATTATCTCGAGGATACAAGCAAACAAGCTTCGATATTCATTATTTTGTAAATTACGAATTTATTTTATTTTTGCAATTGTTCGCTAAATTTTTAAAGCGTTATTCGACTAAATTGAGGTTAGAATTCACGCCTTAATATCATAAGCCACCAAAGTTGACGTCTTAATTTAAGCCGAGCTTTGAATGCTATAAGCCGGGTTTATAATGTGGTGCAAACCAATCTAATTTTAAAGCTGAGCTTAATGGCAAAGCCAAGCTTATTTTCAACGGTGCAAAATGGCCTTAGATTTAATGATGATATTAACCCAATCAGTAATTCATTCTGCTTCTTCTTAAGGTGTCATGACCGTGACGATCGTTGATCAGTAGATTTTTGCAGCGCCAAAAGTTGAGCAGACGACCTGTTAAACCACACTCACAAATTCCTTAGCCATGATGTTATCTTTCAACGTTCTTGATGTTGCCATGAATAATTCATTGGAACAACTCTAATATATTGTCAGCAACCTCGGAAATCGGAGGAACCATGGCGGGACGGTTACACTGAAAAGAGGACAAGAACGGGAGTGGCAAAAATCGGGGCGACTTCATAGCTCGAACATTAGATCGCGCGGAGCTACTTACAGGCAATGGCTGGGCGTTGTCCAGGGAGGATTGAGAAAAATAATAAATAAAAAAACAGACAGGCAGAAAAGGACGATTAAAGTAAAACGAAGTTTACATTTAGGATTGGTTTAGAACAGGCCGATAAGAAAAAGATACTGGTATAAATGAATATATAAATATATTGTACATTACGCTAATACTGCTCCCAAGCTATTCTTTAATGGAATAAACTGGTTTTTTAAATATTAAAAGATCTTTACAGACACCTGGAATACACAGTGTTTTAGTAAAATAAACGTATTTCTTTGATGTGTCTAACACATATTTGCGCGCCAAATAATCACGAACGGCATTCCGCGATAATTCTAACAAGGACGGTACCTGTATCAATTGTTTCCAATTGCTCGGTTCACAGCTATGTTCTAGAGCCTTAGGAGCGAGAACTCTGATATGCGGCAACAGTTGTTTGGTAGGAAACACAACTGTGTTTTCAAATGCTGAAAGAACATTTAATTTGAAATTAAGCATTTTAAGCATTGGTTGGTAGAGAAGGGACGGAATGCACAGAGGCAGAGCCATACAATCTAAATCCATGTGAAGGCATAAATAGAACAACTCATTGTATCCAAACAAGCTAAACACTTGAAAAAGTAATTCAGGTTCGATTGTTTTACCTTCGCACAAATACAAATGCAGTAAATCAATTGTTGTGAACGCCCATGGCTTTGGTATTACGTCATACCTTTTAAGCCTGTCGAACATCGGCTTGAATCAGAAGTTTTGGAATATGAGTCCGAGACCATTTATGTCTATGGCTACGCGTAAAAGCGTAAAGAATCTTTCGTCTGAGAATAGATGCAGGAGAAGTTCTATCATTGACGTGTAATGACCCATCAGATCGAAATGGGGCCATATAATTTGAAAGGTTTCTAGAGACACTTCCCGCAAAGCTTGAAAAGTAATTCTCTCTACAGTTGCTCTAACACCATGTACAGCACGGTCTTTATAGCTGAATGTCGCTCCGGCGTCTATGAGCCTTCCCAACAAAGGACTATTCAACGCGAAAGACCAGCTTAGTAGTGAGGCGCCGTTGGGATGAAAGCTATTGACGTCCAGTACATAATCGAAAAGAATCTCTTGCAGGTCAAACCGCCCCCGACACATTGCCACTACGAATGGAGTTAATCCATTAAGCGTGGCAATATTCGCATCTGCTCCATAGCACAACAACATACACATCACTTCAGAACATATTGAACCGTTCACGAAACTGTAATTGTCGCAGATAGATGCATGCAATGGTGTTTCACCGTAATGGTTTTGGGCGTTTAGATCAGCACCGTTTTTAATTAAAACGTGCGCAATTTTCGGACTGTGTGCAGCTTTGTGCAAAGGCGTGTTGCCTTCAAAATCTGCTACATTGACATTGGCCCCAGCCTCAATTAATTCCTTCACCAATTTTAAACTGCGTTGAATTATTGCAAGAAACAACGGAGTTCGGCCGCAATAATTTGTCCTGTTGACCAAGCCATCCCCGAGTGTGAGCAGATATTGGAGCATCTCAGATCTGAAACAAGGTTTAATATTTCAATACCCGCTCAAATCGTTTTATAGAGCAAAAGCTTTATTTTATGATACACAGAATTATCTCATCAGTAAAGACAGTGACAAATTTGGCAAACATTTGTGCATTCCTCTTTATGGTTGCAGCTGAAATGAGAAAAAGCATACGCAACCAAAAAACCATTTTATACCAGAAAGTCCGTGTCCCAGATAATTACTATAAAACTACGAAATCAGAAATTACAAATAATTCAAAAATATAGATAATTGTACCTCCACAAAAGTGCGGTGTTTTCAATAAAACCGAAAGGAGATACTCCAAGCATTTTCAATTGAAAGAACATCTGGATTTCAGAGCAGTTCACTTTAGACAAAACTCAAAAAAAAAAAAAATTGAATTTTTAATTCGCCAGTACTACCTTGCTGATCCCTAAAACGCAAGTCGACGATAATAACAAGAAATGGCACCCAAAGACACCGGATAAATTGAGCAATATAAATACCTAATCGACGATGTGATTGGAGTTAGGAACTTGTGGTGGACCTGAAGCAAATAAGCTAAAATCCGTACTCGAAAATAACGTCCATGCTATAACCAATTTTCATGACAATTGAAATTGTAGAATGTTACTCAATTAGAGAATTTACGAAAAATTTGTGTTGTTAAAAACTGAGTTATTTGCAAAATACTAGCCTGGAAGGATGGCATTAATGTTTTCCAAGATGATAGGCCTAATTAACATTACGCAAAAAACCTGTTTAGTCTAAATTATTTGAAACCGTAGTAACCATGAGTAAACACAAAACAAAAAAAGTAAAATTGGGAATAAAATACTTCGAGGTTAGGATAACTTTGTCACTTTGCCGTCAGTGCTGCCACCTTCTTGGGGCAAATGAGTGGTATATCTAAATCCGTTATAGCTGTCATCCAAAACCTCCCCGTAGTGGTCATGTATCAACAACCATACTCGATCAAATAAAATACAATTAAGTTGATAAATCAAAAGAAGTTTCAGAATTTCTGCCCGTTTAACTCCAAACACGTTTGTTTCCCAGTTACTTTATTGTGCACTTTTGGCAGCACTCGTATTCAGCTAAATAATTTCTAGTCAAGGTGTGCCGATTTTCGGAAGATCTGAGATTTTATGTGTTCTCGTGTCCTGTGTATCTTCCATACTTGGTACGAATGCAGCCATTGCTCGGGGAAATTGCTAGGACAATTATCCAGTGCCTGGAAAAGTTTCAGTGCAATGCTCCTCGATCCCCTGGAAGGGTTTGCTGCAATTAACGCCAACACTTGTTTCTGCAATGCTCCTCGATCCCCTGGAAGGGTTTGCTGCAATTAACGCCAACACTTGTTTCTATTGGTCTGTAAGCCGAGCATCTCAAGATTGTCCACTATCTGTGTCAATCTCTGGAGCAAATCGTCCAGTGTTTCTAGGCCTTTTCTGCTGAAAGTTCTTACAGCTTCTGCTATGTTATTGCGGCATTTCCCCATAACTAAGCGCATATTCAAAAATTCGATATTAATGTACATTTTATAAAAATAACTCCAAAGTTAGTCACATTTTAACAAATGCATATTATTATTGACAAAGGCCATCTAAGCATATGCTAATGACTAGAGCTGTGATTTCTGCTTAATATGCTTATGGACCATTCCGTAAGCAAACCCAAGATCTTCATACACCTAACAATTAAGCAAAAATTGAGCAAAATGGCCTTATTTTCTACGCGATTTTTCCTTTTTTTGAAGCCATATGCTTAAATTAATTTTTATGCTTATATGGGGCATTTTTTAATATTAGCAATATTTTTGCAGGAACAAATGCTCATTCTTTAGCCAAGGGCTACAGACTGGCAATTAATATTTTGTGCTTTTGTGTAATTATATTTTGAATCTTCGAATTATGTTCGATCCCTACTTGATGACGTACAACAATAGTTTCGTGAAATAATAGCCGCTCGTTGTTTTACCGAGACGAGGTTTTAACTGTTTACAAAGTTCTGTTCAAACAAAAATGGCTCTGCACCTGCCTACTACCTGTGTACTTCAGCCTTATTCAGTGCCCATTTGTCGTTGTAGGTAGTAGATGCTATGGTGTTAGAAAATTTGCACAAATAATCAATTTATAGCGTCAAAAGTGTCGATGAATAGATTAGATGCTTCCCAGAATTCAAACATGTGGCAAAGTGGTAAATTATTTTATCGCGCTTGCGGTAAAATGGTAAAATTATTCTGAATTTTGTTTAACCATGTAATGTCTGAGTGGCAAATTTTCAATCTTTCCAGATTCATTGTGACAAAAAATACAACATTGTACATACTTTCCTGACTGTGTTTCATTTCCAAATCAAAATTAATTCCTGGGTTTCAGTCATTTATTGTCTCTATTTATCAATTAAAATACATTTTGGTGTATTTTTTCATTATCATCAGTTTTTATGTGTAGCGTTATTGCTACTTTAAGCCTTGGCATACATTTTACAAAATTGCATTACATTTTTGCAAAAATGTATGCTAAGGCTTATAGTAGCAACAACGCTACACATAAAAACTGATGGTGGAAAAATGCACCGAAACATATTTTAATTGATAAATAGAGACAATAAATGACTGAAAACCAGGAATTAATTTTCATTTGGAAAAAATGCAACATAATTCAACATGTAAAAACTACTTTGCATAAAGCAGCATTTAAAAGACTAAATAATAAACCGAAGCAAACAAAGATTGCTGAAAGTTTGGGGTCATCTTCTGAATATAGAGCCCTGAAAGAGTCTAATATGGATTTTTGCAGAGTCACAGTTCAACCTAATATACTGTTGAATAAATTGCAGAATGTGGGATTCAAAACATTTTTGGAAAAACACTCTAGGATGGACGAGCCACACGGAGGTAAAGTTCGCAAAAATTATATACAATCGGTGTATAATGAAGCTGTTAAGCAAATACGAGAAGAAATTGGAAGCAATTACGTTTGGTTGGCACAACAGACGTTTGTGGCCGATACATCGCAAATATAATTGTGGGAGTGATGCATGAAGAAGAACCGAGATAAGGATATCTGACTTGTTCGCAAGAATTGGAAGCAACATTCAGTAACACTGTTTCTAGATTTATCCATGAATCATTAGCAAATTTTGATTTACCCAATGCGGTTCCGAACGACAAGATTTTGCTCATGCTTCCCGACGCTGCTGCCTACATGGTTAAAACTTCTTCAAACCTGACAGTATGTACATGATCCATTGTAAATGCTTAGCACATGGATTTAATAAGGTCGCTCAAACTATAAGGCGACAGTTTCCTCTGGTTAGCCATATTATAAAAAACGACAAAAATGTATTACTCAAAAAACCTTTGCGAATACAACTATTTAAAGAGAGACTGCCAAACACTCCTTTACCACCTGAGCCAGGATTAACAAGATGGGGTACTTGACTGAAAGCTGCATTATATAATGCCAATAATTTTTCAAATTTTAAAGAAATTATTGAAGATCTACAAACCGATACAAGTAAATCAATAAAAGATTGTAAAGAAGCATGAAGAAACGATAACTTACAAGGTCAGTTGACGATTATAAAAAGCAATTTTGAATTTGCAAGCAAGGCAATAAAACGTCTCGAAACCCAATCGCGAAGTTTAATAGATTCAACGAAAATCATTGCGGACTCTACACAATCCGTTAGTCTGGTTCCAGGCACAAACGGATAAATAATACAAGTAAATGATGATGATGATATTTTGACTAAAAATCAACGGTTTCAAAAACGAAAAACGATAGTCTCTGTATAATCTGGGAAAGCTGATTCCAACTCTATTGCAGGTCCAGCTCTCACGCCAAAATATAAATACGCACCGATTACTAGTTTTGATATCGAAAGAAGTTTTTCAACCTTTAAATCTATTTTAAGTGACAGAAGGCGGAGTTTTAAAGTTGAGAATTTAAACCAACAGTTGGTGATTGCCTGTTATTATCATAAAAGGAAAGATTAGATTTTAGGATGTTAATAAATTTTAAAGACAAAAATGTTATGTTTCTATCCAATAAGTTATCTGCATTTTGAAAGGGATATGTTATGTAGTTATGAGTAACATTATTGCTTATATAAAGGCAGTTATATTTATATGGATTTTTTAGTGTTTGTTTCATGTTACTAAGCCGTTAATTTCAGCATAGTTTTAAGAGTGTCATGCTTTTCTGTTCTTTTTTTAATATTTTTATGCTTTTTATGTTCAACTGATATACTATCAGATTTTTTGTGCCTTTTTATCCGAGATTTACTAATGACAAAAACCATCATTGCCTCCTTCACTTTTCATAAAAAATTTAAGAAGGGTACATTTTTAACATAAAATTGTTTTCGTAATATGAAGGAAAGATCGTAATTTTCCTTTTTGAAAACTAGGTGTTCCAACATGCTTCCAATTTAACATAGAACACATTCAACAAATGCTTAATAACAAAGTTCGGATCTTGGATTTTCAATCAAAAATTCGAAGATTCGATATTCAACTGTTAATATATTCTAGAAATCGTGGATAGAAATGTTTTCAAAATTTTGCTGGTACTATCTAACTGAACCTCTACTACCTCTTAAAAGTAATGATTCCAATTGTGAAGCACCCTATATTATTAACTATATATTTCCTGGAAGCGTGTGTGCTTCTTAAAAAAAAACCTTGAATATTCAACGGGCACATCTACAACTTTAGTTGCCACACACTTCAGACAAATGTACAGAGGAGGTACTCTCAGGAAATTAAATACTCGATACTTACGATCCAGTAGACACCGCAATATGCAATAGCGTATCTTTGTTTTGGTCTGTAATATTTGGAGATGCTCCTTGTTGGATCAGGCGCGCAGTTCTTTGCACGTCATTTTCCAGAACAGCTTCCAACAGCATGGTTGTCAAATATGAAGCGGACAAAGTCGATCCTGTGTAAAGGAAATTCAAAACTTTATTTATCCAGACAGTTATTCATAATAGATAGTAAGGCCTACTTTAGTCGAAAACTATGATTTATTAGAGAAATAGTTTTATTTAGATATATTTTTATTAATTGTTCAAATGGAAAATAGACATTTATTTAATATAAGTAGTCGAATTGTGCAATTCGAATTGCAAATTGATGAAAAGATGATTTGATTTGATGGAAAGTATTTGCATTAGCACTTTAAATTATGTTAAATAGAATGCGTTGATGTTTGAATCTGAAAAGATTCTAGAGATGTTTTTCCTATTGAATGTGAACTATAATGGAGTTGAATTGTGAACATTGTGTACACTAAGCCAGATATTTAAGAAGAAGAACTAGTCTAAACAACGCAGATGGCTAATACAGTTCAGCAGTAGTATCAGTAACAAGCATAGTCATTTTCTGCCTATAAGTAGTCAGAACAAAATGTTCGTCTGTATTCTCAGTTCTCCTTAGAAGAGAAAACCTGTGAACTGTGTTTTTTAAGTATTATTTTCGAAAGTCGAATCTCATTGGATGACTCTCAATATTCTGAGTATAGGAACATCAATTTTCATGCTTACAATAAATTAGAAATTCGAATTTGATCCGAACCAATGGAGAGCAGCCTAGTGAACAATGCAAGGGAAATTACTACTGTATATGCTAATCCTTTCTTTTTCCATTTCAACCAATTGATCATTAAGTAACTTTTCATTTTTGGTAAGGAGATGTTTGTTTAATCACAAAAACATAGATGTAAAATGTTTCAATTTACGAGGGATATCGCAATTTTAGTTTCCCACATACTTAAAATACAAAAAAAAATAAAAAGACAAAATGTCTGGAAACGCTGCTTAACACTTTTTCAGGCATATACATTCTGTATTCTTCTAAACCATTGTCCTGCCAGAGAGGTAATTGGATCTATTATATTATTTTTATTTTCAATATTGTGACAGGGTGAGCATTTTTTTATGACCAGTACAGTGATCGTCGAACCCATAGCAGTTACGGAAAATAATAAATGAGCGAAAAATTGCAGTTTTTAATGCTCTACTCGAAGACAAATTAATATTTCTAAAATTTGACAGCTGTCAACAGATATTTGTTTAAATGCTTACTCCTAGTTCCGTTGACATTAATTTGACAAGAAAACATTAAAGAGAAAACTTTGTAGGAAATTGAATTCCAATCAAAATGGCATAAGACATTTCTCTAAAATAACTGTCATTTTTGACTATGATACAAACTTGATTTTCTTAAATGGCAACCATACTTGATTATTGATTAACCGAATAGAGCAATTTCTGTGATGTATCACATCGTTGGGTTTTTTCGAAAATAAAGTGTCTGCGAACAATTTATACTATTTCAAATTAGTTGCTCAATTACATTTTGAAAATTTATTTTGACAACCACGTTAAAGTTGGCAATAACTTTATTTTAATTAAGACGGCTGCTCATTTAAAGTGTTTATTATAAAAATCAATTCATACCACTAATAATTAAAATTTAAGTCTAGAAACTTTAAGTTTGATTGTAAAACATTTTCACAGGTTATTATCACCATTATTATCATTGTAAACATTGCAACGCTTTAAAACTGAATAAGTTGCTTTTCTTGCGGACTAACCATAAATATTTTCAAATCCCAACAAGAGCTTCTTTAAGTGCATCCAAATTGGAATACGGATTAGTTTTTGTAAACTGTGTTTTTTAGGGCTCCACACAAAAATAAATTCAAAGGTCAAAGATCCGGTGATCGAGGTGATTCCGCATTTGGGAAAAATTATGCGGAGGAGCGTCATCATGTTGAAACTATTGCACATTACGCCATGTTTCTAAATCTAAGTCGTCCAACATAAAATCATGGTTAATCCAAAGGAATTAAAGAAACCGACTCCCCTTTATAGTGCCTTCAAAAAGAAATGTTCCAAAAATTTTCGAACCTTGTGGTCTCCTTTGCTCATCGTGGTGGGGATTTTTTTGATTCCAAAGATTTTCATTGCGTCGAATAACCATACCGCAATTTGTAAATGGAGTTTGATCGCTCCACAATATTTTATAAGGGAATTGGATGTCTTGTTGGCAGTTGTTTCGGAAGCATGTACAAAAATTCTGTGGATTCGGGCTTACATTGGTCGAGACAATAACTCCACAGCTTCATTTACTACTTTGCCTCCATTTCTTGGAGGCGTAAAACTTCCTTATGTGCCCAAATTGTCGAAGAATCGTTTGAGTGTTTTCAATGACATTTTAGGACGGTCAAAATACCTCGCAAAATAGTCATTAGAGGCTCGTCTAGCATTTTTGTCACATGTAATCTATCTATTATGTAATCAAAACTAACTTAGATTTCTAAGTTGAATTTAAACTTGAATGTCGAATATTGAAAGTGGTTATTGCTTTTTACTATTGAAACAATGAAAAATTAAATTGAAAAAAAATCAAAATAGAAACAAACAAACAGTCTTATACCATTTTTCTTGACTAGCTTCGATCAATTAAATTGAAAAAAAAAATTGTTCTACGACACTTTATTTTTCAAAAAATTCTTTAATAAAATAAAATGCTCTATTCGGGAAAGCAAGTTTTCTATTTAATGTTTAACTGTAAAATTAATATCAACGAAACTAGGAGTAATTTAAAAAATTACAATAAATAAGTTTTTCCCGAATATCTCTTGACAGCTGTCAAATTATATAAAAGTAAAATGTGTTTTAAGCAGATTATTGAAAACTACAATGCTTTGTACATTTGACCTTCTTGGTAACTGCTCTAGTTCGGAAGATCCCTGTACTAGTCATCGAAAAAAACTCACTCTGTATATATTTACACTCGAATAATCATTTATTTTTGACTGTTTTTGAAATTTGTTCTACTTAACTTGAGTTGCATTTCTTGCTGAAAAAGACTTCCTTTAATGGAATGTCTACAAAATTTTGATAACTATAATTACAAAGTGTTCAAAAATAAGTTTCAAATTTACGTTGAGGAAATCGCTCTAAATAATCTAATTTTGTCTTATTCAGTTTTAAAAATACGGGTAAGTTTGTGTTATGTTGTCTATTCCAAAACTGTTTAGTTTTTGAAATATTGTTAATTCATGCATGTCTGTGTCATTCAGGTGCTCACGTAAACCAATGAGAATAAATAAACGCCCTGAGGACATTAGGGGGCCGATTTTGTAACAAATGGGCGCATGCAGCCTACCAACATGGACATAAGGCTTAACGGCTTAATTGTTAGGGATGGGTAACCCAGCTTCTTAATTTTATTAAGATGTGTGATGATTAAAGCGCGGAATATATGCAGTTAAATTCAATCAAAATATGCGCATATATATGCATAATTTTTATTCCAAATATGCAATTATATGCAT